ATACAACTATCCACTGGGGCTTTGGGGGGAAAAAATAAAATAAAATAAATCTTTAAAAAAAAAAAAAAAAGAAAGTGAGGGTCGTTACCGGCAGGGGCGCAGGACGCTGTGGGTGAGGAGGGAAGGGCTCTCGGGAACAGGATGGAGGAAAGTCGCACTGATGTGAGTTAGCATGATTCTCAGATTCTCGGGTCCGAGATCCAGGGAAAGGCTTTGAGCAGGGGGAGGGACGTGGCCTGATGGGAGGCTCCAAAAGATCTTTGGAGATCTACAGAGCGTGGACCCCAAGACCGAGGTTGCTGTGGGGCAGGACATGAGAAACATGCCTGGACGGACCTCTGGAGCCTTAGGTGGAGAGATGGGTGCCTTTCTTCCCTCCTTCCCTTCCCTCCTCCTTCTTCCATCCTTCCTTCTTTTACCCCTTCGCTCCCTCCCTCTCTCTCTCCCTCTCTCATTTCTTCTGTCCTTCCTGTCCTAGGTGCTGGGACCGCAGTTTGAACTACGGGTCCCCTCCCTGGAAGGTGTGGGAGGATGACGGGTCAGCGATGGAGAGCCGGGGGGGGGGGCGGGGGGGTGTGGGAGGGCCTCTAAGAACCGAGTGGTTGGACGCAGGGAGGGCTCCGGGGAGAGCCGGGCAGTGAGGCGGGATGGTCTTGAGCTGAGTCCTCCGGGCCTTGAGGGCTGCGGAGCGGAGTTGCGCGTTGACTGTAAGATGTGTGGAAGGGCCTGGGCCGCCTGCTGCGCTGTGTCCGCGGGATGATGGGCGGTTGCGGGGGCCACCCAGGAAGGGCCTGGAGGAGCCACGGTCTGCCGGCTCGGCAGAGAGGTCTGGGCTGGAGGTGCCTCTGTGTTGGGGTCGTGCTGGGCCGAGTCGGTGGTTAAAACCCTGGCAGAGGATGGGGTCACAGGGGAGAGGCCACAAAGGGAGGAAAAACAGGCAGAGGCGCCCGAGGCTCTGAAGTTTGGAGAGGGGCTAGTGGGAAGCGCTGGAGGGGCGCCCGAGGAGCTGAAGAGGGGTCCTAGGAGGAACGGCAGGCCTCGAAGAGGCCCGGCCCACTGGGCTTGTGGGGGCCCACCGACCGTGCCCGTTCACATGCCCCCGGTCATTAGTGCCCGCTAGCCAGTCTGCACTTGGGGGTGGGGGAGGTGAGCAGTGAGACTAGGAGACTAGTGAGACTAGAAAGATGGCGTCACAACCTCATCATTGAAAAAACATTCTAGTCTCAGTTTACAAGTGACAGGCATAGAGAAAATATCCTATTAGTGGGTTATTTTAAGGGTGGATTTCTCATTACAGTGCTAGGCCGGATTTTCATCACACCAGAGTTTCTCCCATTAAAGTTAGCTTATTTTTGCCTGATTAAAAGATAATTTTAATAATTAATTTTAATATTAATCTTTATTTCATTTTAGTTGTTAATTATAATACCATAATACTAGTAGACAGCTCTCCTGAGCACATAATTTTACATAATTACATAATTACTGATAGCAATTGGATATTTACTGCATTCAAGCAGGCAAACCCAGCTTCAGCTTCAGACTGATTACCAAAAACATTTCTTCTAAAACGTTTTAAAGTAGGTATGTGAAAACGTGTTATGAATTGTTGAAAAGGTTGTTACAGGGGGCTGGCCCGGTGGCATAGTGGTAGGGTTCGTGTGCTCCGCTTGGGTGGCCCGAGGTTCACGGGTTCGGATCCCAGGCTCGGACTTGTGCACAGCTTATCAAGCCATGCTGTGGCGGCGTCACATATAAAGTAGAGGAAGATGGGCATGGAGGTTAACTCAGGGCTAATCGTCTTCACAAAAAAAAAAAAAAAAAAGGTTCTTACATAGAACTTGGTGAGAAAATTCCTAATTAAAAAAAAGTCATCCCACTCAAATGTGTAAGTCTTTATGCTGAAACAGGTAGTGGCCAGAAATAGACGCTTTCCATGGAGGTTGATTACAAAGGGAGGGAGAGGAAGAGAGGGTGATGGAGCCTTCAGGGATAATTAAAGATGGGAAAGTCTTTGGGGGACCCGGCCACCAGGGTGAAGGTTGAAGCTAGAAGCTCACTGGAGACACAGTTGGTGCGTGGGTGGGACTGTGGGAGAAGAGCTGCTTTCACTGGGTGTGCCAGGCTCCTGGTCCGTCGGCAAGGTGGTGATGAGAGTACAGGAAACAGAATAGGAAGCACCCCATTTCCAGATGAGGAAACCGAGGCTCAGGAAGATTAAAACCCGAAATCCATAGTAAAAGCCCGAACCGAACACCAGTCTCTGCTCCAGCACGTGCTCTCCGCCACCCCACACCCCAGCGAGGTCGAGGTGGTGGTGGGGATCCGCGCTCAGCAGGGGCTCAGGGCTGGGTCTGAGCTCACCCCAGGCCCCTTCGCCAAGATGCAGCTGGAGCCTGGGAGGGCCCTCCCTCCCCCACCTGGCCCCAGTGTCTCTATAAATAGCCGGGGTTCCGAAGGAGTGAGCTTGTGACCGTCTGGCAGGCACTGCCCTTCATGTCCCCTCCCTCCAGGCGGTCCTCGGAGTGCAGCTGGTGGTGACCTTGCTCACTGCTACCCTCATGCATAGGCTGGCGCCGCACTGCTCCTTCGCGCGCTGGCTGCTCTGCAATGGCAGGTGAGCCACGCACCCTCCCCGGGCGGTGGGAGGAGCCCCGCCGAGCCCCGCCCCCCTGCGCCGCCAGCAGCACCCCCCCCCCCGCACGGCGTTTTAATTGTTTTTTGTTTTTTGTGTGTTTTTTTGTGAGGAAAATCAGCTGTGAGCTAACATCCATGCCAATCCTCCTCTTTTTGCTGAGGAAGACTGGCCCTGGGCTAACATCCATGCCCACCTTCCTCCACTTTATGTGGGACGCTGCCACAGCATGGCTTGACCAGCAGTGCGTTGGTGCTCGCCCGGGATCGAGCCAGCAAACCCCTGGCCGCCGCAGCAGAGCGCGCGCACTTAACCGCTTGCGCCGCCTGGGCGGCCCCTTAATTGTTTTTTTAAACAACTTTATTGAGATGTAATTGGTGTATAATAAACTGAAAATATTTGAAGTGCACAGTTGGGTCAATTTTGACAGCTGTAGACCCGTGAGACCGTCCCCTCCCTCGAAAGAGCAATTGTTTCCCCTACTTCTCTGCCTTCCTGTAACCCAACCCCCTTCCACCCTACTCTCCCTACCAGCGCTTTCCCGCAATGCTTTGGTCCCTGTTTGGGTCTTGGAGGCTTCCTGAGATATGGTGGGAACTGAACTCTCTCCTCAGGACAATGCACACACCTGCTCCACCAGGAGAGTTAGCCAGCAGATTCAGGGGTGTCCAGGATGCCCGCTGCACTCGCCCAGCCAGCCCAGCCCACCTTCCGGGCCTTCAGTGGCCCCTGCCCGTCCTGTCCCGTATGGCGTTTCAGGGCCAGCCCTACCTCTGACTCTAGTCCCGGGTTTGGGGGTCCACTGCCTTGATCCCCCTGTGCCCGAGCTTTCCTGACTGCCCATCTTTGCCCTCAGTCTCTTCCGATACAAGCACCCATCAGAGGAAGAGCTTCGGGCCCTGGTGGGGAAACAGAGGCCCAGAGGCAGGAAGGAGCGGTGAGTGAGCCCCAGCCTTTGGTGAACGGCTCCCGCCCTGGGCAGGGTGGGGGGCGGCAGCACAAGGCCTGCCCTGCCAGCTCTGGGCACAGGGGAGAGTCGGGGTGCCCCAGGAGGAGATGGTCATCGGCACTCATTGAGTGCCTCCAGCCAGCATCTGATGCTTATTGGAAGTGCTCTGGGCCAGCCCTGTGGACTGGTGATGCCGGCACCCTGGTGTGCAGAGGAGACCCAGGCTGGGGGAGAAGGTACCTCCCGGGCCAGCTCCTTCTGTGCTCTGAGGGTGCTGGGGTGGGATGGGCTGCTGTGGGTGACTGGGAAGGGGAGGAACGGAAGATACTGCTCTGACACCTTCCCCACCAGTTGGGCCAATGGCTACGGTGAGGAGAAGCCGTTGTCTGTGCCCCGAGACGCCCCTTTCCAGCTGGAGACCTGCCCCCTCACGGCCGTCGATGCCCTCGGTAACAAGCCCACTGGGTCCCCAACTCCCCTCTTGGCCCACGCCAGGTGGGATGGGAGCGTCCTGGGTGGGCGGCCGCGGCTGAGCGGCGTGTCCCCGCAGTCCTGCGCTTCTTCCTGGAGTACCAGTGGTTCGTGGACTTCGCCGTGTACTCCGGCGGCGTGTACTTCTTCACAGAGGCCTACTACTATGTGCTGTGCCCGGCCAAGGAGACCAACATCGCCGTGTTCTGGTGCCTGCTCACCGTGGCCTTCTCCATGTATCCTTCCTCCAGGTTCCTTGGGTAGGGCTGGTGGGAGGCATGTGGGAACCGGACCCCCCCCAAACTGCTATATCAGTTATTGACTGCTGTGTCACAAACCTCCCCAAAACTCGGTGGGATAAAGCAGCCGCTGTTGGACTGGCTCTGGCTTTGGGCTGGGCTCAGCTGGGTCAGCAAGTCTCCTTCCATTCCATGAGGTCCAGCCATCCTGGCCATCCCACAGGCTAGCCCCAGCTTCCTCACTGCAGGAGCTGAAAGGCCAGAAGGAAGAGCGGCCTCTGCCGGCCTCCTGGGGCTTTGCCCAAAGTCAGCCCACACCTATCCCTGTCCATCCTCTTGGTCCAAGCAGGTCACCAGGCCAGCCCAGAGGCAGAGGCGGGAAAAGAGAAGGCCCACTCCGTAATTTTTTTATTAAGCTGCATGGAGAGCAGAGGCAAACCCATGACTTTGAGAACCCCAGTCAGAGAAAATGTCCTGAAATGAGCTTGTGAAGAAGGGAAGCCTATCTTGATACCCACACTGGTTCCGGAAAGCCCCATGGGTCTCTTTCAGGGCAGACTTTCAGATACAGCCCCTGTATCTGATAGCTTCTCAGAGGAAGAGGAAATTCACCTGCTGTGAATGCCACCAGAAGACTAGGTGGGCAAGGAGGCGGGACCACTGGGAGACAGACTTGGTGGCCATTTCTAAGTGGCCACAGGTAATGTGATGAGCCAAGCTGGAGGCCAGGCCCAGGCACACCCCCACGCCACTGACACAGGCATGAGCAGCCCTGGGCCTTGTGTCCTGGGCTTGTTCAGCGTCTCACTCTTCTCCTTCATCACTCCCCTGCTCCCTGGGTCTCCAAACCCAAGCTCTGGTGTTTGTGTTCTGGAGTTGAGGGATGACTGGCGGGGAGTGGTGGAATGGGGGAGGGGCACTACCTGTGTTCGAGGCCTCCTTAGCCCTGTCCCCAGCAAGGTGTTCCTGACAGTAACCCGGCTGTACTTCAGTGCGGAGGAGGGGGGCGAGCGCTCCGTCTGCCTCACCTTCGCCTTCCTCTTCCTGCTCCTGGCCATGCTGGTGCAGGTGGTGCGGGAGGAGACCCTCGAGCTCGGCCTGGAGCCAGGTACGTGCAGTGGGGGGCATGAGGTTACACCTCCATCACTCCCTCATGTAAGCTGTCCAGGCTGGGGTTTAAGTGACTTGTTCCACTGGCACATAGTAGGTGAAGGAGGGGACTCCTGGGGCCCGAGCAGTCTCCATGGGTGCTTGCCACCCTGGGCACCCCCTTGGGGTTTGGGGACGAGAGGACACCCCGTCTCATTGTCTCTGATGGACGCCGGCACTGTAGCTCTTCACATGGGCACTTCTGTTCCCTCCAGTTGTCGCCTACCCAGCAGCCACAGTGACTTAATATTTACCTATTCTAATTTAATTTGGGGAGGAAATAGGTAAATGGTATAAAATTCATAAAGTACAAGAGGACAAAGAATAAAGAGTAAAAATCACCCTTCCACACTGGTTCTCCTCCCCAGAGGGAACCTAGGGCACCACTTTCCTTTATTCACATAAATCAGTAGCATATATGGCTCTACACCTTGTCCTTTTCTTTTAAAAACAATAAATATTGGAAGTTGTCCCTTGACACTACATACAGTGTTGTTTTTTTGTAACGGCTACGTGGTGTTTCATTTTATGGATGTTCTATCTTTATTTAACCAGGCCCCTATTCATTGACATCTAAGTCTTTTGTTATTAAACGTTGTTGCACAAAACCATGTTGTTATACAACAATCTTGTATGGGAACAGCCTTGTGCATGTGGCCCTGTGCAAGAAAGTGCATTTGTAATTTTGATAATGTGGCACATTGCCCTTCAGGAAAAGATGTATGAACATGCTTATTTCCCCACACCCTCTTCAATGTGTTTTCTCAGACTTTTTCTGTCTTGGCTGATCTGATGGGTGAAAATATAAGTGAGGTTGAGCATCTTTTCATATGTTGAAGAGCCATTTCTAGCTCCCTTTCAGAAAAGATCTGTTATTTTGCCCAGTTTTCTACTGGGTTGTTGACCCTTATTGATTTGTAGGAGCTCTTTATATATGAAGGAAAGTAACCTTTGTATGTGATAGGAGTTGCAAATATTTTTTTTTATTTTTTTATTTTCCCCCCAAAGCCCCAGTAGATAGTTGTATGTCATAGCTGCACATCCTTCTAGTTGCTGTACGTGGGATGTGGCCCCAGCGTGGCCGGACAAGCAGTGCGTCGGTGCGCGCCCGGGATCCGAACCCGGGCCGCCAGCAGCGGAGGGGCTGGCCCCCATCTTAACCATTTTTAAGTGCACAGTTCAGTGGCATTAAGTGTATTCACATTGTTGTGCAGCCATCACCACCATCCACCTCCAGATCTCTTTTCATCTTGCAAAACTGCAACTCTGTCCCACTAAACACTAACTCCCCTCCCCTTCCCCCAGCCCCTGGCACCCACCATTCCTTTCTGTCTCTGTGAATCTGACTCCTCTAGGGACCTCACATAAGTGGAATCACGCAGTATGTGTCTTTTTGTGTTTGCCTTCTTTCACTTGGCATAATGTCCTCAAGGTGCATCCATGCTGTAGCATGTGTCAGAATTTCCTTCCTTTTTAAGGCTGAATAATATTCCACTGTATGGATATGCTGCATCTTGCTTATCCACTCATGTGTGGATGGACAGTTACATTGCTTCCATGTTTTAGCTATTGTAAAAAATGTTGCTATGGGCCGGCCCCGTGGCTTAGCGGTTAAGTGCGTGCACTCCACTGCTGGCGGCCCGGGTTCGGATCCCGGGCGCGCACCAACGCACCGCTTCTCCGGCCATGCTGAGGCCGCATCCCACATACAGCAACTAGAAGGATGTGCAGCTATGACATACAACTATCTACTGGGGCTTTGGGGGGAAAAACATAAATAAATAAAATCTTTAAAAAAAAAAAAATGTTGCTATGAACATGGACATACAAAGATCTCTTCAAGTCCCTGCTTTCAATCTTTTTATACACCCAGAAGTGGAATTGCTGGATCATGGGGTAATCCTACGTTTAATTTTTTGAGGAACCAACAAACTGTTTTCCACAGCAGCTGCACCATTTTACATTCCCACAACCCACGTACAAGGATTCTAACTTTTCCATGTCCTCACCAACATTTGCTATTTTCTGTTGTTGTTGTTTTTTAAGAATAGCCATCCTAATGGGTGTGATGGTATCTCGTAGTTTTGATTTGCATTTCCCTAATGATTAGTAATGTTGAGCATCTTTTAATGTGCTTGTTGACCATTTATATATTTTCTTTGGGGAAATGTCTATTCAAGACCTTGCCCCATTTTTGAATTGGGTCGTTTGTTTTTTTGTTGTTGAGTTTTAGGACTTCTGTATATATACTGCATATTAATCCCTTATCAGATATATGATTTGAAAATATTTTCTCTCATTCTATGGGTTGCCTTTTTACTCCATTTATAGTATCTTTTGATGCATAATTTTTTTTTCCTGAGGAAGATCAGCCCTGTGCTAACATCTGCCAATCTTCTTCTTCTTCTTTTTTTTTTGCTGAGGAAGACTGGCCCTGGGCTAACATCCGTGCGCATCTTCCTCCACTTTATATAGGACGCCGCCACAGCATGGCTTGCCAAGCGGTGCATCGGTGTGCGCCTGGGATCCAAACTGGTGAACCCAGGGCCGCCGCAGTGGAGCGCGTGCACTTAACCGCTTGCGCCACTGGGCCGGCCCCGATGCACAAAAATTTTTAATTTTCATGAGGTCCAATTTGTATATTTTTTATTGATGTCATAATAGTTTATAACATTGTGTAATTTTAGTTGTACATTATTATTTGTCAGTCACCATATAAATGTGTCCCTTCACCCCTTGTGCCCACCCCCCAACCCCTTCCCCCTGGTAACCACCAAACTGTTCTCTCTGTCCGTGTGTTAGTTGCTCTTCCACACATGAGTGAAATCATGCAGTGTTTGTCTTTGTCTGGCTTATTTCGCTTAATGTAATACCCTCCAGGTCCATCCGTGTTGTTGCAAATGGGATGATTTTGTCTTTTTTTATGGCTGAGTAGTATTCCATTGTGTATATATACCACATCTTCTTTATCCATTCATCTGTCGAGGGACACTTGGGTTGCTTCCACATCTTGGCTATGGTGAATAATGCTGCAGTGAACATAGGGGTGCATAAGCCTCTTTGGATTGTAGATTTCACGTTCTTTGGATAAATTCCCAGTAGTGGGATAGCTGGATCATAAGGTATTTCTATTTTTAATTTTTTGAGGAATCTCCATATTGTTTTCCATAGAGGCTGCACCAGTTTGCAGTCCCACCAGCATTGTATGAGGGTTCCCTTTTCTCCACAACCTCTCCAACATTTGTTATTGTTGTCTTGGTGATTATAGCCATTGTAATGGGTGTAAGGTGATATCTTAGTGTAGTTTTGATTTGCATTTCCCTGATGATTAGTGATGCTGAACATCTTTTCACTTGCCTATTGGCCATCTGTATATCTTCTGGGAAAAGTGTCGGTTCATATCCTCTGCCCATTTTTTGATCGGGTTGTTTGTTTTTTTGTTGTTCAGTTGTGTGAGTTCTTTATATATTATGGAGATTAACCCCTTGTCAGATATATGATTTGCAAATACTTTCTCCC